CTCATTGCTTCAGTGATGCTATCTAACCATCTCATCCTCTGCCGTCCTCTTCTCCTTTTTTGGAAAACTGCTCCTACTGAATTAAAGCTTGGAAGGAATGCATGAAAGCAATGGCTTTAAAAATTAAAAAAGGATTTTATCCTTATTAACGACAAAGGGATTAATTTATATTTGCTTAATGACCACTGCAAAGAATGTCATAAAATCAGGTGCAGTCATATAAACAGACTTATTACTGCAGTTACAATATACAGCTAGTGTTTATAAATTAAAAATTAAAGCATAATTCTACTAGACTTTAAACAAACAATGAGAATATTTGTGCACATAGGAAGATCTGAAGCATCTGGCTAACTAGATATGAAGTATTTTATGCAGCTATTCAATTTCATCTCAGTTCATCTCAAACCATACTCCTTACCTCAAGGAGGTCAGACTAGCTGGAGAAGGAACTTGGGGAGAGCCTTCCTCCCTCATTTCCCTCATTTGCCACTGCATGAATGCACTGAACACCTTTTAAGAAAAGACCTACACTGAGCGGTTTGCTAGGTAATTTTTTTTCTCCTGTGCAGTTCCCCTGACTAACACTACTACCATTGCACTATTGCCCCAATCCATAGATATCTGCAGCATAAGCAGTGGTCATATTTCCAGAGAAAATGGGCATTGTGTTTCACCTTGACTTAACTTCCTCCATGATGACAGCCTGTTCTGTTACCTAGTAATATAGTACAGCCAAAGTCTGTAAATATTATTAACTGAACAAGAAGCATACATTCTAGCAAATTTGTTTAGCTGCCTTGCTGCATTCTTGTTTAGTCTTATGCCAGATGCATGCACATTTTCATGCAAGAAATTTAATGCTTCAAAATAACACCTTTCAGCTCTTTCCTGTCTATGTTTTATGTTCTTTTGCAGCTTTTTTCACTGAAGCTTATGCCTTAAAAATTTGCTTGAGAAGTGTAGCTATTAGCCGTTTTTCTTTTTCTGATTGCACAGTATGTGGTTCCTCCATTAACAGTGGTGTCTTGTAACATTATACAGTAGCTACACTACCTGGTTCTCCACGACCTCCCTTAGCTCCTACCTGGCCTACATCAATACGAAGAAGACTTTTGCCACCCAACACTGTGACTGGTAAACCTAGCAGTTCAGGTATGTCAGCCTCATAAGCAACAGAGTTTTTTCTTAAGTTTATTGTCATAATGCACAGGGCTCTCTTTATATATGCTCAAGGAGTACTTATATTCAGTGTAACTAGAAAACAAGCATTATACTTTTTATTTTTGGATTAAATGCAATTGATATTCATGTGATCAGTCATCCAAACATTCATTTGAACTATGACAATCTTTTGCAAACATCCTATAGTGCTCCCAGGCAAAATATTTATTGTTCCTGTGTTATTCATGGGATTGATGAACAGTGAAGAAATCATTATCTGCCATGTATAATTCTCCTATTTCCTCCCCCCAACACACACACACAGACTTTACCAATGTCCTTTTTCCCACAGAAAAAAAATATATATTAAGGAAGAAAAGGTGGAATAACTCTACAGTTTTGAATAGCGCCACTAAATAATGTTATATCCATACAGAGAAGATGAATAAGGACATGTTCTCACCTGTTTGCAACTCTGTCAAGAAGAAAGAGGAGAATGGACTTCCAGCAAGGAATGGAGAACTAATGTCCTGCATTTTCGCCACTCCACAGATTGCGGGGGGCATTACAGCTGAAAAGGCAAGCTGGATATAGGATCCAGAGTGCCAAAATTCTCTCTGGATCAAAGACAGATCTTGAGATTACCCATATGTACTCCAAACAGCTGTTTTTTTGTGGGTAGATGGCAGAAACGGAGGTTTTTGCAGCTGGTTCCAAGCAGCTGGCAGTCACGGGTTCCACAATGCTCTGAGCTGTTAATGCAGCCTTTTACAGACTCAAGGTTCAACCAAACCTCATCTTTTTAATCACTTTGGAGTTTAATTTTTTTAATTGTTTCTTTAATATTAAAAACCTTCAGAACCACAAGTTTAGCATCTGCTGGCTGAGTTCTCTTCAATCCATTTAAAAAGAAAGAAAATTATGTGTTTCCAGCTTTGTAAGATCCTTATTTTTTGCAATATACAGCAAAAGGATGATTATAGTGTTGTTTATGGAAAGTTTTTAAATGCTAAAGGCTCAGATGAAATTGATTTAAAGAAGGATTTTGAAGTTAATTAGAAAGATCCTCTCACATGGGAATATTTCTCTTGCTTCCAAGCTGATAACAAGACCTTGAAGGTTGATCAGTAGAAGGCACCAGATGGCTACTTTAAAGGAAACATTTTATAAGTTGGCTCAAGAAATGCTTGCACTATTTAACTCTATACTGAAACCAAAAGTTGTTATTGAAGAGAAACAAGTCCCTTTAAAGATAACCAAAATGGACTTTAATGTGGATTTAAAAACTATAACTTTGTAATATGCCACCCAGAGTCACCTGTAGTGAGATGGGCGGCTAGGTAAATTGATTTAATAAATAATAATAAATAACATATAAGAAAGAGATGGAAATATTGGATTTACAAATGGAATTGGATGATCATCTAAAAATTAAAAAAGACGTACAAATAATGTATCAAAAGAGTGATGTGGATTACCCTCTTGTAATGGAATTTAAGAGATCTACTAGAGTTACTACACAGAAATTACAAATGGACTTGGATAAAGATAACAAGAACTCCGGGAGAAAAGACAAGGATCATAGAAGAAAGCAGAAGTTAGAACTTTACGAGGGGGGACCCAAAAAAATCCAGAATTATCTTCTGGAGGGCGGGTGCCTTGTAGTACAGGCTTCCCCACTAGGTGAATGTCCTAGGAACCCATCTGCATCAGTGTACCAGCTGGGTTGTTGTGAGAGGCTGCGTTCGGCTTCAGTGAGTTTTTTTTTAGAGACTTTTTCAACACGTTTGCCTATTTTGTGATGGGTGATTTGTGCCTCACTTGCTCATGCCTGAACAAAGAGACAATTGCTTGACTGCGTGTCATGCTTTGAAGGAGAAGTTGGAGGCTAACCCTGATTTTTTTTCAAAAGTCATAACCGGAGATGAATCTTGGTGCTACCCCTACGACCCCGAAATGAAATAGCAATCCAGCCAATGGAAAACTGCCACATCCCCATGACCCAAAAAAGCACAAGTGAAGTCAAACGTGAAAACAATGATCATCTGTTTCTTTGATGTGAGAGGGATTGTGCACTTGGAATTTGTTCCTCTGGGTAAAACGGACAACCAAATTTTTATCTGGAAGTTTTGAGAAGATTGCATCACGATTTGCAGAAGAAATGTCCCAAATTATGGCAAACAGGTGACTGTTTCTTCCACCATGACAACACATCTACACACACCACACTGAGTGTTTGGGCAGTTTTTGACCAAAAATGGCATGACCCTTGTGCCCCACCTTCCCTATTCACCCAATCTTGCCCCGTGTGACATTTTCTTGTTTCCCGGGATGAAAAGTCCTCAAAGGGAAACGTTTTGCCAATGTGGAGGAGGTGAAACAAAAAATGGCAGAAGCACTAAAAGGCATCAAGATCAACAAGTTCAAAACCTGTTTTGAGCAGTGGAAAAAATGTCTCAATAGGTGTATTGCATCAAACAGAGAGTACTTTGAAGGTGACTGAAGTTTGAACATGTAAAAATAAATACACAATTTTTTATAATGTCTCAATAGGTGTATTGCATCAAACAGAGAGTACTTTGAAGGTGACTGAAGTTTGAACATGTAAAAATAAATACACAATTTTTTATAAATAAATTCTGGGTTTTTTTGGGTCCCCCCTCGTATTTATGGGACTTAAGGATTGCTGGGAGGAATAAGAAAAGAATATATAAAATTGGTTTATTTGATTATGGTTAAATAATGAGTTGCTAT